AATATTTTTCCAGTATGTGGAAAGAAGAAATGATCAAGAAGAAGCCAGGGAGATCTTTGTTCAGTTACCAATGGAAACAAGTGTTACACTTGTTATCACAAAATGTCCAATTATAGCAAGTGTAAATCACATAAAGGCTCCTGACCCCTTTGCCATGAGGCTGATTGAGCTGTGAACATTCAGGAAGTTACAGGAATGTAAAGTGGAAGAATCAGTACAGCACCTCCCGGTGAATTATTTCCTCTCGTTATTACCCTGTTTATCCCACATTTAAAACCAGCAACTGAACAAAGGCAGATAATATTTTTTTAAATTCTTTTGACTACTTGCCATGTTACATTTATTCCCAGAATATCTGTTTGCTCGCTTGGCTGTGTTCCATCACTGTCAAGAGACCTCTCCATGTTTGTTCAGTGGATGACATTTTCAAAGAGAGTTTAAATCGCTAACCTACATTCCCTCTCTCCAAATGAGGTCAATAAATACTTCGGTGGTATTAGCTAGGTCTAAATTAAACATTATATTTAATATGTGCAAATTTATGTATGATTACATTTCAAGATGTCACCCTGTTCTGAGCCATTAGGTAGGAATGTAGTTTGTCAGCACAAACAGCAACAGTCTTGCTTCTCTATTACTCTCTATTCCTCCTTTCCTATGCGGCGGCATGACAACGTGTACAGTTTTGTGATATTGTCTCATGTTCACATTTACATTTGATCGTATTTGACATGTCAGCACCGTAGGATGAATGATGTCTTCCTGGCTCCCCGTATCTGATTTGTTACCCATTGGGTGCAGACACGGGCAGCAGCACTCGTATCTCCCCTCCAGCTGCAACACCACCCTCTGGCCTTTTGCATAAACAGGATGATTCAGCATGCAAGGCTGTGACAACTCATATGGTGGCCCTGGTCCTTTTTTTCTATTTAGAAGCTACTTGGTGAAGTGAAGTGACCCACAATTTTCTACCCAGACCCCCCCACCCAAAAAAAATAATCAAAAACCCAGACCTCACAAGGTCACATGCGCATAGCAAAGCACACTGACATTTTAATACTTGACCTGGTTTTAGCAGCGCCGCTGTCATAGCTGTCACGCTGGCCCTTTAGGTCACCATTTGGAATTTCTAGGGACACAATCACATTTGGCTAAAAGCGAGCCCGTTGAGCATTGCTAGTCTGGGGGCGATATTCTTCCGTTTAACAATTATATTAAGTTCTGTAATGGTTCGAGGACAAGCCAGGTTACTGCAGTAATGCAATTCATTATCGTGGTATGATAGAAGAAGTTAGATAGAAGATAGAAGAAGAGAAGTGGTGCGCTCAGAGCACGTCCTCGCTTACACAGTGCACCTTACATTAAATGGAACCCCAATATTTGCCCTATTTAAAACTTTATACAAGTCACTTATTTGATGAATGGCAGCCTCCTAATTTTGCTTTTGCTCTCTGGGAGGACATCTTAAAAGGTGGAAATTTCCGTGTCCTGACTCAGCCTGGGGATTGAATGTTTACCCTAACTTCGAGCCTGACTAATTTTGTTTTATCGCTTCTGCTCTACTGACAGGAAAATTCATTAATATGGTATGCATCACAAAACCGGTGAATCGATTGAACGCTGGAAATGCGGCTATACATGTCAATTAGCTGCAGCAATGTAAGCATCCTATCTCGTTTAAGCATTTAATGGTATGTTTCTATTTTAGGGATTTCCAATCGTGCAGCTGAAACATACGCTCAGCAGAGAATAAAAATATTTTCCTGGCAGCTTGGAACAAGTAGTACAACTCTAAGCTATTTACTCATACAGTAAATGACTATATCCTTTTACTCTGAGACGGTGGGGCTTTTTAGAGCACTTAGTTTCAATTCTGAGAAATATTGATGTCTCCAGTACAGTGATATTTTTTGTAAAGTATGCTTCCCTGTATGTAGCATTGATCTAGGAAAGGCTTGCTCATTTTGGGGTGAACTTGCATACACAGACTCAGCCCTCCACCCCATTCAGGACCTTTGGGATGAACTG